ACAATGTTTAAACCTATTTTGAAATGCAGTAGAGATCATCTTCACATTGTGATTTTAAAAACCTCTTGTATCTCCTAAGCTCACAACAGCCCTTAAAAACAGCCAAGCTGAGAAAAATAGTCTATCCCACTACTTCACCATTCTGGAAACGTTTTTAAACTGCCTATCTATCGTTATCAGTAATTGATACTCCTAACTATACACATTCGGGTCTATTTTCACATCTGGAAAACCAGATGATTTAATTTGGTTAGCTGAAATGAAGACTTACTTCAGATGAGTTAAAGACATCTGGTAAAAGGAAGTTAAGAAGTGCCCAGAGTTCATGTAAGTTGTTCTGAAGTGGAGTTCCAGTCAATAGCAGCCGATTTGTAGTCTTGAATTCTCTCACAATTTCTGATAACTGAAGGACATTGAGACGTGAGCAAATACAAACACATTACTAGTCCCCACACCACCACCTAATAACCCACACGAATCTCTCGTCCAGTGAAAGTATAAATTACCTTTGATTTTTCATTTTTAATCCTGTGGGCTTCATCTATTACGAGGTATCTCCAGTTAAACTTTTTGAACACCGATTTCTCTTTGATAAGCATTTCATATGAAGTTACGCAGACATCCCATTCTCCAGGCAGCAACACGTCTCTGACAAAGGCAGCCTAGACAACAAGGTGACAGCTTGTTAATGAGCCTTTGTCAAATCTAAACCAAGAAGAACACGCTAGTGCTGTTAAAATTTTAAAACAATGCTGCTATTAGATTTGAAAGAAAAGATAAAATTAATTCTAGAGGCAATGTAACATACAACCACCGAAAAGCCTGACCATTTCATCAGTGCTGAAGCTGTTAAACTCCTGGGGCAGAGCAGAGAAGGGATTTCAGCTCTAACTTCTGGCTTCAGAAACGGCAGATGACCACCTACACACATGAGGTTTTCAGTAGCTGAACTGTAAGATCGAAACTCAAATTTTCTGTAAGTTGGCTTTGGCTTTTTTTTTTTTAAGTTTAGAAAACAGTAGGTTTTGAATACAAAAAATCATCCCAAGCACAGCTTTGTTTGGCTAACTGAATAACTGCTAGAACGCTAACATCCAAGGTTAAAAGAGGACACACTAATTAGTCAGAATTCAAAACAGAGAGATGTATAAATGTCAAGAACTTAACTCATATAAGCAAGAAATATACTGAAGAAAGAGTAAGAACTTTTGGATTCAAAAAAGATGAACTAAAAAACCCACAAGATATCAGACCTGGACTAATGACCTCCAGAACTGTTTAAAGTTTCATCAATATTTTTGTAACTTCTAACCCAATAAACTCTGAAAATAGAGCTAGATGCCCTTAGAATAAAAAAAAAAAAAAAAAAATCTGCTGGCAAAAGCAGAAGTTTAATGGCAACAGTAATAGCTCTTCCTTCCACAAAAAAAAACAGGTATTTCCAGTTGACACATCTACAGATGCGCCATCATTTTTAAGTTTTCTTTGCTGCACAAAAAAAAAGAAAAAAGTAGCAAAGAACTGATACTGAAGTAACGAGAGCAAATGATTGAGATAGTGAGGTCCTAAGAGGTGGAACGGTGTTTTCTCTTTTAACTGACAAAATTCAAGATCCATCTGTGCACCACGCTTACCAACCGACCCAGCTCGCCCCCTCCAACATTAAGCTGACACCTGTTTTCGGAAAACAGTTCTTTAGTGACAGACCCCATAATCCTCTTAAGAGCTGCGGTTACAGCCAGGGCAACACCCTGTACTACGCAGAGCAGAAAACAAATTACTTTTTCACAGATTTATATGTTCATACAAATGACAGCAGCTTACACAAAACACTCTTATTTTCCTACTTCAACATTTATCAGGTTTTGTTGGTCGACACGGTGCATTGCCTTCACAAAAGGAGAGAAAAATCTTTAGACAAGAAATTATGAGTGTAAAGTGATGAAGCAATAGCTGGGCAACAGATGTGTGAATTCTAAGCTGGTTATAGCTACAGTAGGTAGCACTTGAAGGTCTTACTGTTTAACCACTACAAATCCAAGTAATATCCTTCCCTGTGAATGAAAGGTAAAGCACAGCAAGATCACATGCTGGATTTACACTGGAAAAACCACCACATCAAAACTTACTCGTTGGTCTTTGTCACCTATCAAACAAACTGCTCGAAGTGTAGGTACCCATCTCTTGAATTCATTCATCCAGTTATGTAGAGTGGACTTAGGAACTAACACCATGTGAGGACCAGGAATATTTCTGTAGTGTTTCATATACCCAAGAAGAGAAATGGTTTGCAGTGTCTTCCCAAGACCCTGTAAGAGACAATAATGTGTCAGGAAAAAAAAAAATCTCTTAGGAAATACCTTTAAAAAACCCTAGAGTGAGCTCTGAATGCAACATGGAAGACACAGCAGACTGAACAAATAAGTGAGATGTATTAGAGACAGTGCTACTCACAAAAGGCATCAAAATCTTGGCTAGGAAAAGGTTAGATGGCTTTGTATATTTAAAAAAGTAAGTAATGAGCAAAACATTTTCAAATCTTGGATTATGAAGTTAGAATTTTCCCTTTCCTTTCAAATAAGATACATTCTTAGAACTGCAAGGAAACATTATTTCATACAATTTTATTTCATAGACTAGGCTGTGTTCAGATTATTTATTTAGAGGTCAAGGAACTTCACAAACTGGACGTATGCATTCTCTTAAACTTGAAATAAAGCAAATACATTAGGAACCCTGTAAGGAGGCTTTTACAGGCATTTTACATGACGTCAGTTCTTGTGAGAAGAAAGCCAAACATAAATGTAAAGAGCCATATATGTCGAAGAAGAAAACAAATACTCAGCTTCTTCAGAAGTACCTTCTTTAAGCTTTCTGTTCTTTACTCAACAGAAATATTTAAAACCTTGTGTCTTCAGCATGTAATTTTAATTACAATGAAACTGAGGAACTCATGCAAAAAACAGATCATTCGTATCATTCAAATAACTCAAAAAGGTTATGACTCAAACACATAGGATTTAAAAAACTCAAAAGCTATCAGTGCGGGTTATTTTTGCGTCTAAAATTCAAGTCTTTGTCTCAGAATAACCACGTTCCACCTGGTATATCATGTGAAAAACTGTTTATAAGCTGCGTAAAAGGCATTAGTAAGTTCAAAAGGATTGATATTGTAGAATGAATCCAAAAATATTTAATAGTAAATATTTAAACTCCTCAACACAAGACGGATTTTCAAATACCACAAATCCAAGGACGTACGAAGTTCTGCATTTGTTTTTGTTAAAACAAGCCTGCTCCACTTAGAACTGTACTCAGTAAAAAAAAAAATCCTTTATACATAAGCACATATGTTGAAGAAAATCCTTGATCTATTTCAAAATTAAACATGTTACTAAACAATAATTTAAATTCATTTGTCTCTAATTTATCTTGAAGAAGCTTTATCACACAGAAATTACCAGAAGGTATAAGAAATGCAATATACTGAAATAGAACTAGACTTTTGTTTTTCTTCATCTGTTCTTTATGAGAAACAGATACAATTAAAATCACTTAGAGGACAAAAACGTATCTACCTATCAAACTACCACATTTTTTTCTGCGTTCATCTCTTGTCTTTCAGGAAAAAAGAATAAAAACAGTAGCAAAAGCTGCTATGGCCAGTGCTGACTGAAACGTCCATGGTCATGGTGTAAAAGAAATTTTAACACAGCTCTCTAACTACACCTATCTTTGCGTCATTTCTTCCAGAAAATTTCCCACTGGTGTAGCTCTTGCTGCTGAGATCACCCCGACAGGACACTCGTATCCTGCTATCTGCATTTTACAGCCTAAACACTACAGGAAGTGTTCCGCATTTGTTGCTCTTTTCAGACATGACAGTCTCTTCACAAAGGCAGCTTGAGAATACATAACAAAATAGCTGCAACTTAGAGAGAAAAAAAGAGGACACATCAGTCTATAGAACAATTCCCCTCCACCAAATCTCATTTTTCTAAAGGCTGACAGATTCCCTTTTCAGATGCTTATTTCTAAAACTGTATGTTTTATTTCAATTAAGATACCTGTGACACTTTTAACATTATTGACTTAAAACATACTAGGAAAATAAGATTTGGCAAATGATATATTGCATTTTGTGCTACTAAAAAACCCATATACATAGCTGAACTAAAATTGTATTGTGTCTCATGCGTTCACAAGTCTCCAGAAACACGGTCCCTGTGCTTACCATTTCATCTGCCAGGATACCATTGATGCCGTTTTCATACAAAGAGATGAGCCAGTTCAGTCCTCGGACCTGATAATCACGCAGCTTCCCCCATTTAACATCTGAAAGACATGACAGAGTAGACTGAAAGATCTGTAAAAACTTACCAAAGAACTTCACCATCCCTTGCCTGCTAATTGACACTGATTACCTAAGCTACAGAACAAAATCAAGTAGTAAATTTCATGCACTAAATTCCAAGGACAATGCAGACTGGAGACAGCAACGTGTTAATTTTGTTTCTGCAAGCTGCTCCAGTAGCTTTGTTTTCTGCAAGAACTCAAAACACACAGCAATTCTGACTATCACCACCCTCAAATCAGAACACAGTCGAACGTTAGAAAACCAGAACACTGAATTCCCCATTAAATGAACTGGAAGCTGTTAGGTCCTTTAAATTCTATCAGAAGACAGGTTACATAAGTAAAAACTGTAAGATGACAGACTATAAAACAGCGCTCTCTCCTAGTCACTAACTATAGCAACTGGATTTCTAAAGGACAAGGCTCACTGGACTTTCTAGCCTGATCGAAAATAAGCAGACTCTCGCTAATATATTTTGTCCCATTAGACTGGTGCTGGATTTTTTGTTTTCGCCTTCTCCTATCCCACAGAATTTATTCATTATTTTTGTGAAGGATGAAAATAAACTTCATTTTAAACAACATTTTGAAGGAAAAGAACTAGGGCAAAAGAACACAAACAAAAGAAAAAAAAAAAAGGAAACACACATGATGGAGATTCTTCAAACCGAGTGCAGACGTTGGTTGCCTTGGAGCTTTCTGTTAACAGCTCCTCGTCTTCTTCCTGCTCTGTTCTACGATGGCGGTAGCTGAAAAAGTGCAAGAAAGAAGTGAGTTTCAGGCTAAACTGAAAAAATATCATTGACGTACAGAACACAAATACCCAGAAAAGCTCCTGGCGAGATTCTTCAGAAGAACTCGGGTTTATGCTGCTTTTAACTCTTTAGAGCCACTACTTAATAAGATAAGACAACCTCGTTGTCAGCAGGCTCAAATGCTAGACCAAAGTGACTGGAAAGGGATAAGCTGCGTGCATCAGTACTGGCCTTTAACCACAAGCCAGGGAATGCCACTATTTGAGAGCACTGGAACATCTGCCCAACACCAGGTACACTGCAGTCACATAAGCTGTACCGAAGGCAATCCGAATTTCTAGACTTTGGATTTTCCAGCTGTCTGTAAGATGCCGTATACCAACGTTCTCCGTGAACTCTTACAGCTTACAGCCACAAACGCTCTGCTTTTCTGTATGCTGGAATACTTTTAATCATGATAGTGCTTTACCACCACCACAAAATTCTTTTAACTCCTACAATTCTTAAACAACTCTCAAAATACAGGTAAGCAGTTGGAAAAACCCCACAATTATACAGCATAAAACACACACCAAAACAGGACAAAAGACTAGCAAGTTTAACTTACGCTTCTAAAGTACAATAAAATCCATAATTACAGTACAAGCTGGCCTACATGTCATCACTCACTCGCCAACTGACAGTAAATTCTGTTTCTCATCCTTCTTTATTCGTGGACGTCCAGGCTTCATTTTCAAAGGTGAAGTTGGGGTTTTCTGAGCAGCAGGCTGAATGAAATGAGCAAACAGCTCAGTCTGCTTCAGCAGATACTCAAATCTGTTTGCTCTGTCTGTTTGCTGTTGACAAGGAAAATGAAGAGGAACAAGTGTGAGACATTACAGTATGTATTTGTTCAAAACAAAAAGCTAACAAAAGCTTTTTAAACAATATAGATTCACATTTCTTTTTATAGGTAGCTGTAATAACAAGGAAGAGATGATTAACATCAACACTGTTTCTGATGGATTCAGGATTCTTTCATGGGGTCAAGGCTAGCGCCAGCCTTTGCTATGCAGTAAGATCAACGTTGCAAGACAGACCTGTGCTAAGACTGAAATCTGACTTTGGCACAAAGACTGCACGAGTGTCACTAGACAAGGCCAGAGGCCCCTTAACAACCTTCTTCTAGCAAAAACGATAGTCTCACTCCCAGAAATTTACCCCTAGACGGCATGTGCAGCATTCTGCAATGAACTCATTCATCTCACCAACCTGGAAACAACTATTTTCTGCCACATCAGTTCCCTGCCTGCTCAGTGAGATACACCACCTCGCTGTGGTGCCTGATAAGCAAAAGAGCTGGCATGAAAGGGGGCAGAGGAGCCCACAGCTAGAAGCCAGAACACCTATTTCAACAGCAGAGACCTCTTAGATATGCTCAGCATGAATTGTCAGACTGCCCCCTTTGATAGGAGTTGCTGTTTTTGCTGTGCAAAAAAGATTACAGGAGACAGTATTAGCATATAAAAGGTTGAGTGTCTTTGAGACAGGTTCCATTTGGAATCAACAAACTTTCCCAAGGTCACATCAAGACTTCAGAACGGACAATCAAGACAGAAAATGGCTCCAAGCTTAACAGCAACCACTCTGACGTTCTGCCAGCTGCCACAGCATAACCTGGTATTTAGCAACTTGCACAGTTACAGGAAGTCACTTTTCTTAGTAAAAAGGAACATATGCTCCAGACTTTGCAAGAGCAATGCCAGCTCTGTGAGCGTCCTCCTCTTTAAAGCAAGCAAGTCCTGCACTGTGTAAAAGACAGAGGGTTAGAGAAGAAAGAGACCAAGAAAGAGGTCCTGTATGTACCACAGAAGAGTCAGACTCACTCTAACTATAGTTTAAGCTTGATTAACACAGGCACAGTCCATATCCACTGAACTAAAGTTTTCCTGTCTATTCTTCATATTGTTTTTGTTTGTTTGTTTGTTTACTTTGGAACAGTTTCTGAAGTTTAAACTAGGTAAGTTCTTAGTACTATCCAAACTGGTAACCCTTATTTTTAAGTACTTTTGCTTCACTAGCTGTGCAGAAGAGAAGTAGAAGAGATACAGCCTGCATTGCAAAAGTATCCTAGTTCTACAGTTTTAGTGAGGAATCTTCTGCAAGTTTTGGCACTGCACACACATCCCCACAAGTTGTTTCCATCATGCTTAAGGATATTCCTTTAAGAGAATTAACAAACATTATCTGTATCTTTCAGATATGACACAGACAAGAACAGGCTGTACTCTGCAACCTTGAGCTATCCTTCTACCAACAGAGAAACTCTTCCTGTTTTCTTTTCCAGTGCATCTTCTGACTATGGCGACAGTAAAATACAACTCTCCTTGTAATCGTGCCTGTCTTAAGACGACAAGAGTCAATTCCAAGTTCACTTTCTTCAGTTTGCCAGGAAGTAGCACAAAGAAATTAACAGAAGAAAACTGGGTTATTTTCAGTGGCAAGAAGAAACAACACAGGAAGCAGAGAATTTTAAGAATCAGTTTCACTTTCCTATGAAGAAATTCCACATGCAGTCACAGACACTGGAACTATAAACAGGAAGGAAAACAGGGAGGAACAAAGAAAGAAAATGCAATGAGATCGTGAGGAGCAGACGGCTCCATCTCTTACATTCAGGATATTATAAAAATTAAAAAGTAAGGAAAATAGTAAGTTTTTTCCTAACCCATGAAGCATAGAATCACTCATCTTTAAAAAGCTCGAGGACTCTAACTAGAGCTTCACAACAAACAAATTAAATTCCAGAAAAAGCTAACAAAATCTTTTTCAGTCTAGACAAAGAGTTGAATTCAAAAGTTAGCCAAGGTTTACAGTCAGAGTTTGTCCTAAAAAGCAAACCTTTCCTCGGCCTCCTATGAATTTTGAAAACTTTTATGTACTTTGACCTGTAAACTGTACTGTCTGAAAGAACATGCCTATTTTGAAGCCCTCCTAGTAAAGTGTATTTCAACTGAAAATGAATTCAGTGCCTATTCGAAGTCTTATGCCAAACCTTTCTTTTTACTGCTCACTTTGTCAAATAGAAATTAATATACTTTTCCTACAAAGGACTGCTACTCCTGCAGTTCAAAAATAAGTTTGGAATTGTTAAAAAAGGTCCTAGACTTCAAACGATTCCATAGATTGAGAAAGTAAGGTAGCAGCCATCTAAATACTTATGGATGCTTTCCTAGAGGATCTTTCCATTTCTGACTGAGAAAGTGAATACTCAAGTCTTCATACTCCTACAGGAAGGGCAACTCTACAGATAACTTCAAAAGCAGCTTGACAACTTTTTATTACATTTTTCCCCTAAGACATTTGAATATTTCACATTATATCATTCTTCCAAATCTAGAGCACCTCAAAGTTGCTAGGACTATACTTCCTAGAGACAGCAAAACACACAAACAGTTATTCCCACAAAGAACTGCAATGGAAATGAAGAAAGAGTACAGGACCAGTGAGCAAAATGCTAAAAAGGAGAAGGGTCTGAGGGTTTTTTCTGTATATTCCAGTTAAGAGATTTCAAACAAGCAGAAAACAGTCTATTTTAAACAACTGCAGAAGTACTGGATAGCTGCACATAGTCCCAAACACTACATACCATTTTCTCCTCGTACGTAGGATCTGCTTCCTGGATTTCTTTTTGTTTTCCTGGTGATGCATCACCAAAAGACTCCTGAGATAGAAAAGAATTAGAAGAGAATTATTTTCTGAACAAGGGAAGATACCCATATAAAGGAGAATAAGCTTGTTTTGAATTACTATCTATCCATATCAGAGGGCACAACCATCTTTTTCTGCTTTGATATAGTCAGCTTTCTATTACTTCCTGTAAAATTACCTGGAGATGGATCAAAGATCCCTGCTACAGGTTGAGGAACAGAGCTAGATCTCTGTAATCCGATTTAGCTCCATCATTAAAGCATCACATCAACGGGAATGAGACACAGCTGTGGTCCAGGAGCTCAGCATGCCGCTTCTAGGGTGCTGAGCCAAAACCCTCCTAAAGCTGGCTCTGGAGAGTACTGCGAAAGAACTCGCTCTGGTCCCAAAGCAAGAGGAGTTTCCAGGTTTTTTTCCTTTTTCCAGATTACCCCAATCCCTCATCATTCTGTATCAAGGCAACAAGTCTAAATAGGAACCTGGACTGCAGTTTTGTCTTGGAAGCAGAGCATGAATTCGGACAAACTACATCTTTCCCCTATTTAGTTTACTAAATCAAATAATTGTTGTTATCACCAATGGTACCACTACGAACAGAAAATCAAGTTGGTTGGGGACAGTCCTCTCATCCTCTTCTTGCCAAATCCTTGACATATTGCCTTCAATCATTCCTTCAGATCAGGGCTTTTCTTATC